CCTCCGGAGCGGTTACCGCGCCCTGTCACCGGGGACGGGTGGGCTGCTCGCTTTTCTGTTTTTAAGGACCACGATTCGTACGCAGCCCCGCGGCTGAAGAACGCGTTTCCTCAAACATACTCGTGAAGTTAGAGGAGCCGACATCGTTACTCTCGCCAGCACCTCCTGAGGCATCACACAAAAATTACTCGTTATAATCTGTGTGAGCTTTAGATGGGGTCTCAGGAGCAATTTATTTACAGGCCCTGAAGGAACCACATGCCTCAGGATGCGTTTCCCCCATGCTTTGCCTTGCTGCTTTTACCTACATCTTGGACCACCAGACAGGTGCCACACGGGGCCTGGCTGCTAACAGGGAACAGCTGGCCAAATGGGTCACGGATATTCCAGCTCATATCACATCAGCAATAAAAACTGCGGGTTTGATCTTCCCAAAGAAGCCATTCACTAGGAGGACGGTTGGGTATCTGTCTGGTGGCAGTAGGTATTGAGCAACTGCTTTTGCTTATGTTTCCTTTTTCTTTCCTTCACCTATCAAACCTTAATGGACAAGTTATCTCACATTTTCTCATTGGATTCTCCCCTGTTCTGGTGAGTGAGCAGCTATGCAGGCCTGGATCAATGACTCAGGAAGTCCAAAGGCCAGCACTAGTCCTGCAAGCTACAGCTTGAAAGACCGGCTCGGTGTTGCACTTACTCATTATCCATTCATTGCTGAAGCTCATAGAGCTCTTCATACACGGCTGAAACAAAGCTGAGCTGGCTCTTGCTTCAAACTTTACCCTGCCTCATTTATGTATGAGATTAAGATCAACACTCAAGAAGTCTGAAGCCTGACAAAAAAAAATGTTATTGTCAACAATGAAAAAAATGGAGTATCAAAACCTGTTGATAGCCCATTACTTAGCTTTGGTGAAAACATGTTACCCCTCAGCACAATAAAATTAGAGGAAAATCAGAATGAGAACCAATAGTAATGACAAAAGAACTGGATTACGAGAAATCATACCTTTCTTTCCAGTGACTGTTTAAACAAAATTTAGAGAAGCAAGGTTTGGCAAGTATACGTATAAAACAAAACAAGACCAAGTTGAGAAGCCTTTGATGTATTCAGTCTTACTTTGCTTTGCAATCAATTTAATAGTTTTGAAGTAGAAAACACCTTGTACAATAAAAGACTTGTAATTTTTTTTAAAGTAAAATGTAAGTGTGCCTGCTTGTAATACAAAAACTGGGACATTAACTATTCCCAAAGATGTAAAGTTCTGTTGAAAACCAGTAACCGTTTTCTTTACCAAAAAGTAACCTATACCTGCAACTCTATAAAAGGAGGGAAACTCAGATTAAGTCTGGGAATTTGGAATCAGGATTTGTATGATCAAGATAACTACAGCAGGTATCAGCAGGTGTGAAAAAACCGCAACATCAAACTTGCTTTTTCATGTTCCTACAAGTCACTTCCTTGCTGCCATTTACTTGTGTTTTCCTTTAAATCTTTAAAAATAACAAAACCTCCCACAATCCAATGCCTGTCAAAGTAGCAGAACTGGTTCACCTTAGAAGCACTAGACCCTGGAAAATTGCTCCATCAGAAATTTCCCTTCGTGTTTCTGATGCTTGTGGCAGAAGGTGCAGAGTGGTTGACCTTGCTACTTTGCTAGCTGTACGGGTTATAGTGCTTCCATTCATCTTGTTTGGCAAAAAATATTCCAGGGAACACCAGTTGTTAAGCAGTGCTTTTAGCTGCTCATACTTTGGTCTTTACTCTGTTGAGTAAGTAACCAACGTAAATCAGAAAAAACTTTTCCCCACTGTGCTCTACCCAAGTGCCAAAAGAAATTGAGACAATGGGGGGAGCAGAAAACTGGGCAGTGATGGTAGAGGGAACAAAAATTAAATGAAAGGTCTGCATAGCAATGAGTACATACTAAAAATATTAAAATGTGTTGGATCCAGCCCAGAATGCTAGCTTCTATTCATCTGTCCTTCTTCTGAAGTTTGTAAAAGCAGTAGTTTCTTTTTCCGATATTCTTCATTCTCCTGCTCTGCTTCCTCATCTATGAATTTTCTTATATGTGCTTTTAGTTCCTCGATTCCTTCTCCAGTGTATGTAGATACAGGAATTATATCTTTGAATTCAAGTGTGTTTGCAGGAATAATTTCTTCCTGTAGTAAGTGTAAGAAGTCTGAAAAATAATATTAAAAGAGTTAGTGCAATTCCCAAATACTTTATCAGAAGAAAGTCCATAAAATCCCATTAAATTCAGAAAATTAACTTTAATAAATTACAGTAATAAACATAACTGCAATTAATATAAAAGTATTACTTGCTTAGTTAATCTTTAACAAAGTACCTAAAGTTTTCGAAGACAAGCACTAACACAGCAGTTACACAATACTTCTATACCCTTCGAGTACAAAGAAATCTCAAGCTGTAGAATACGTGATGTGGATGATTTTCCTGGTTCTTATACACACTCTAGGAAATCGCAAGAAATTCACCCCAGTGTAACAGCAAAATTGCAGTAAAACTCCATAGGCTTGTCCAGAATTTTCATGTGTTTTGGTCAAAGTCACATGATAAATTTTATCTGCATCAGTGGCTGGAAGGGAACCTTCAACAGAGGTTACTGTTATCTGAGATAACCTAGACTGGGAATTTACTCCCCTATATCATAGTTGGGAGAGACCTAGGATATCTCTATTTTATTAAAATACCACCCCAGCAGTGAAACCAGCACTACAAATGCATATAAACAGAGCTCTAAATGCAGGAAGTAGTTTTAAAACATATGTTCAAATAATAACTTTAATAGCTGACTTCACTTCAGTTTCAAATAACTCCTTGCAAATGCAGTTATCCCTGATGAAATCTTATTACTACTTTTGTTGAAGGTAATTGTTGAAAGTTAATTTACCTTGAGGATTCTGAAGCTGTTTCATAAGTTCAGTCAAGTTGTCCTTTGCACAAGGCAAATCCATTTTGTTAATGGCAAGAAGTGCAGGCTTTGTTACAAGTTCCTCTTTGTACAGCTCCAGTTCCTTAAGAGACAAGTACATTTGCCTTAATAAGTATTTGTAGTTTAATATGTGCTACTTCAATTTCACATCTTCTCTCTCATTTGTTTAATTGCCTAAATAGTCTTTCATGCCTCGACAGCTGTGAGGTTTACTCAGTTGCTCAAGGTTGATGTATTAAAGCAGTCTGACAGAAGAAAATAATGTTCAGTGGTTCAGTGATTTTTTGCTCAAACACAGGTATTTCAGCTGAACAGGCTGGCTGATTCTGAAACAGCTGCCTATAAAAAGAATGACAGTTTTGTTTTTCTGATATCCACAAACGCAAAATCAATTTCAGAAAAAGTTCAGATCTATAAAACACATTAGAAAATTATTTGGAGAGTTTTCATTTTAATGGACAATGGTTAATATCAGAAATAAAAATCACAGCCATTAATAAACTAAACAGCAATAGCTGAAATTCAGAAGATTCATCATCTTAAGTCATATAGCTAGAGAGAAAACAGCTGCTAAGGTTAAGATTACACAAAATGTATTATTTTAATCAGAAGCAATGATAAGAGATGAAAACACTGGATCCGCAAAGCTGAGGCTGGATGTTTCACCTCCATTAGGCTATACAGTAAGGGCATCGAGGCAAGGATCTAACTATACCCATGTACTTCTACTTCCTAAAATGCCAGACTGGGGCACTGAAAATAATGTGTCTTTTCAACTTTACTTGACTGTAAGAAATATCCCATATGCTTCACAGATTAATGAAGGAACAATTGTACCCAACATAAAATAGAGCAGTTTCACTCAGACAATTAAAAATAAAGATTTAGTCATTCTGGAGAATCCTAAGCTTGTTAACTGGCCTTATATTATAAATCCAGAAGATACATTAACATTTGAAAGTTCCTGATAAAACCCGAACCTCTTTCTTGGCTCAACACATAAATACAACTGTCAATCAGAAAGATGAGAACTTACCTTTGTTAGAAGCAATATAGTTTCAAAGGCTGTTCTGAACCGAGTCTTAATAGACAGTTGAGATCCCGAAATATCAACCTGAAAAAGTTACACAAAAATAAGCTTTGTGGTATTAAATTATGCTACAGTATCAAGGTACTCTCCATCATCTGTTTTGTAGTAAAATGTCCATGTACATGCTTCTCATTCCTGGACAAATAACAGAGGGCAACTCTACACCAAAGTAACACCATAGACACTGGAAGCACAAACTGGTTGGTTCTGATACAGTTTTTCTCAAAAGTCTGACTTTTAAACCTCCTTAAGGGGATTTTACAGAAAAAAAAAAGAAAAAAAATCATTCCATGCTTTAATTTTGCTTGGAGCACTTCAGTGCTCTAAATTAATTGGCAAATTGTAATGATAAATTCTATTTAAGGATTTAAGGTTCCATTCTGAAAACAGTGTTATAGCTATATTTATCATAAAACATGCAAATTACAATTAATTTTCTAAATTCCAGCTATGCTGCAATTAAGACACATTTTATTTAATGCACTTCCTTTGATTTCAATAAGCTGTAAATTGTATTGAACTTACCACTAAGAGAAGCTGTTTGGTTCTTTCTATATGTTTGAGAAATTTGTGACCCATCCCTTTGTTTGCATGTGCACCTTCAATCAGTCCTGGGAGATCAGCTACTGAAATCTAGAAAAACAAAAGTCTCAAATTAAAGATTTCCAACAAGCAAAAACAGTGATTTAAAACTATCAACACCCATTATCATTTTATATAAAACAAAAAAACCCAGACAAAGAAATACCAGGAATATCTGTTTTGATACTACTATGTGTATCTTTACTACTATGTGTATTCTTCAGAATTGTGTGGGGGATCAGTTCTTCAGCAGAATGCACTGGCTATTTCAATGCATTTAGAAGCTATCATCAGGAGCAGATTTAAACAAAATGCTACTATTACACAGATACTGTGCTCCTCATGTTCCCCTGTCTATTTATTTATAGCTGTCTGCAAAGTAGAAAATACAGCGTAATAATTCCTCAGCAGAGATCCTGAAAAATTTACCTATTACCTGAGAATAAAACAGACTCTGAAAGGCAAGATTAGGCAATCATGTTTGTATAGAATTCAAACTGTCACTGGAAAAGAAAATAAAGTCTGTTCCTTGTGGCTAAGGGGCTCATTACTCCAAACACAAACCCACGTAATGCACTTGTTCCCCTGAGTGCGAGAAGCTCCAAGAATTTATCTTCTGCTCTTCAACTGAAATCAGATTTTGAGTAGTGTATCAGCTTCCCATGAGAACCCAGCAAAGACAGCCATAACGGACAGGAATCTTGTCATTTTCTCTGCTGGTTGAGAGGGTTGTACACAGATGTAAAGCAGAGCTGAGACAGACCAAGAAAGAGCAGAATTCTAAAACCCCTAAGTATCTATGCAGTTACTCACAGAAAGCTAAGACAGTTAGTGAAGCAAAGAGGAACAGAAGTATGGTCTTCAAATTTATCTAAGACCCATTTAGACACCAACTGTGTTCAATTAAAAATGCCCCAAGCCAGCACACAATAAAATTTCCAATGTGCCAGCTGTTGCAGAAGAAGGGTTTCTGCTATGAGTGAGTTACACTCTTGTGTTACACTTTTAACCATTATGCATTTCTTAAATATTTGTAGCCTTGCTTCAGAATTTTCTGTCTACAGAGACATGAGATACAGCTGGATGAACCACAGACTTGTAACTAGAAATAGAGAGAATAACTGAAACAAGGAGAGAATAATTAGAGAGTTAGAACAGAAACACCCACTTCTTGGTGTGATGTGTCTGGGTGCTGTAGTAACATCATCACCACTTTTTTCCACAACTTTAGTTCTCTTTCAAATAATATTTTTAATGGAGCTCAAAGAAATTCATATTCTCTCAAAACAGCACTTGGTTCAGATATTCTGGTAGAAAATGCACTAAGAACTGAACCCAGACTCATGCTCAGATCCTCTACTTTCATGTCTTTTCCAAGTAGTAATGAAAGATGCTAACTTGCATGTATTTTCTTCTTTATAATGTACTCATAATAAGCTATGACCATAATAGTGTGATCTGTGATTATAATCACTAGTTTCCTTCCTTTTAGAAAAGAGATATTTTGTCCATATAGTTCCTATATAGCACCCAACACTGTAGTAAAAAAACATGAACTGCAGAAACAGCCAACAAGGAGGATCATTTGCTATGATTTGAAACAGACTGCAGAAAAGGAAGCCAGGAGTGCAAGTCGTTCTGCTGCTGTAGGAAGACACACCAGCAAGATCAAGTAGTTCTGCAAGTAGTGTTTTTTTAAAGGCTGTAAACAATCCTGTTATTTGCAGCAGTTTCCTAGGATTAGTTATCCTAAATTAGCAGATAAAATGAGTATACAAAAAATTCCCTTAGATGTGTGCATCTCTACAGGGAACCTGACAAACTAGACTTTTACTTCCTTTAATACACAGTTTTGTTAAAGGTTGCTAAATGAAGGTTTCAAGCATCACCTACTGAATCCCCCTAAGATCATTGCTTCTGAAAGTGAAAAGAGAAGTTTTCTGTCTTTTCACATCTGAGAGGTATGTTTTTCTGGTTAACTCATCTGAAACCCTTTTATGCATTCACCTTTTATCTTGGAAGCGATGAGTCCAGTACTGCATGTACCATCCACTTAAAAAACAAAATAAAAGCACATCAAAGATTCAAGCTTGAGGAATCAAAATGTTTGCTGTAACCCTGCATGAACTGAGGGTTCAAAGTCTATCAGTAAGAGTCTCATTTAGCATTGGTTTTCCCCACGGTGGATACTGTAGAAAGGACTCCAGCAACCACGCAATTATTTGACAACTTTACCTGAAGAAGCTAGGTGGAATTGTTTTCACAAAAATAAAGGTGGTAGAGCTGCAGTCTACCAGACAAGGAAATGGAGCCAGGTACCTCAACTTTCAGGTAGTGCACTATCCTGGCTTCTCAGGCAATCACTGTCACTTTGTACTATTCTAGGTTTTGGCTGGTTGGTTGGGTTTTTTTTTTTTAATTAAAAAAACTCCCAAACAGACACCACAAAAACCAAACCACAAAGGGAAGACAGAGCAGCCAACCTAGAAAGCTAGAACAGTAAGTCATGGTAACTGGGTTATAGTCACTAAATTCCCTGTCATTCACTCCTGTAGATCTGCAACTATTGGACAAATTTAAAATCCATTCTGAAAATGACTCGTTCATTCCAGAGCTCTCTGTATAGCCAACTTGCAGAAAATTTGCCCCTTCTAAAGAAAAATAACAGGTTAGTCTCTAAAACAAGGAATTTTTTTAAAGTCCTAAATTTAACAAGAGTATACTAGGATACAGCAATCTCAATTCTACCCAGGAGCTCACAACTCTAAGATTATAATGCAAGATTAGAACCACAGAAAGTAGACAAGGGAAAATTATTTATTAAATTGTCTTGAGATCAGCTCAATGTTGTATTTGGCTATAAAACTCTCCTCTCATTACTTTATAAAAATAGTACTTTCCCCGCAACTTTCATTAAGTCCACATAACTGCATTTTATATGGATACATTATAGATACACATATGAAAAAACCTACAAGTTTCCTTTTTCTTTCTGAAATTACGTAAAGCAACATAATTAACCATTATATACAACTTTAACAAACAACCAGAATGAAATTTCATACCAACCTGCTTATAATCTGCATACATGATCTTTCCTAGTTCAGGCTGTACTGTTGTAACTACAGTAAGGGAAAAAAAAGGGGAGGGGAAGAAAACAAAACTGTTTTAATAATTTAAAAAAATGTTAATGTTACCAAACATTTCAATATTGCAGGACTTTCTCACTTCATATTTAAATGAAACAAACGCTCAGTAGCAGAAAAAATAAGGCAAATAGGACTTTAACAATTACTGGAAAAGGAATAAAGAAAATGCAGACCAAGGGAGAACAAAATTAGAGCACTCAAAAAAAAATCAATGATTCACTGAATCTTGGCACTGTGTGCAGTTCTGTTCCTGTCATCCCAAAAAGGAAACAGAGGAGCTAGAAAAGTCTCAGACACAAAAAAGGATTATCCAGACTACGAAAAAAGGCTGTAGAAGATCAGGACTGGTGCAAGAAAGTCAGTAGGAATCATCAGCACTTCTACTATTGCTTTTTATTTAAAGCGTGATCAAATGGCTAATCCCAATTTACTGATAGAAAACTAATAATGGACAGATTCAAAACCAAAATCTCACTCTGTTGCAAAAACAGGTGGGAGCTATTTCCAAAGCACGAAAGTGTTTATGCAAAGGAACTTGATAGTGCATATTCAGTAGACTGAGGATATTACACACTGTGGCGAGTCTCCGATGCAATCAAATAAGCTAAAAAAATGTTAAACAGACCTTGCACCAACAGGTTGAAGCACTACAAGGCATGAAAAAAAACGCATGAAAAACTGAGGTTGTTAAAGGAACTGGACACTGAAACAGCAAATTCTTTCTTTGAAGTATTTCTTATAATTAAAGATCTGTGTAATGAATTTATCAGGCAACATGGTTATCCCCTATCCTTTATTATAAACCTGTAAACCAAGTCACAGAAAAGACTTCCTGCTCTCGTTAAGTATTACTGCTCTAAGAATAAGAGTATGAACTTACATGCATAATTTGCAATTTCAGGTTTGGCTTGAGAAATCTTGCTTAATAAGGATGATTTTCCCGCATTTGGAAACCTAGAAGGAAAGTCAGGATTTATACAGTGACTAAACACATATGAGACCCCTGTATATTTTACTACTGAATACATTATATTACCTTAGCCAAACTCAGTGTTATCAACTGATTTCTGCAGACTCATTTACTCAGGTTGGTTTGGGTTGTTTTTTTTTAAAAGAAAAACCAACACAACCACCAAAACCAAAGCTCAGATCATTATGAATTTTTTAAAATCAAATCAGAATAATTTTTCTAAACCAAATAATGCTTCCCAAGGACGCAGGCAGGAGAGGTGTATAAATACATCTGTAATAGATTTAAGGAAAATCTTTCAAAGTCACTTGGATAGAAGTACAGCACAAGCATACAAGTCTACTTGAATCCAGTCTTCACATGCTATAGCCAATTTTGTAAATTACATTTATATTCTAAACACCTGTTATGCAAATACATCTTTTCAGTGGGATTTACAGGGATATACAAATCACAGGTAATGAATAATTCTACAATTTAAGTACCAATGATATCTATGCTACAGTTTATCTATTGTAGAAAAGCATATGTAAACTTTGCATGTACATATGTATAAATGAGGGGAAGAGCAAAAGAAAAGCTTTGTCTGTACAGACACACACATGCAGTTTGTGTGTTTTTAAGGGAACAAAGTCATATGAGGGATCCTGAAATTCAGACTAACCTGCTTTGTTACCATGTAAGCCAAGAAGAATACCAGTGAAGCCCTAGGAGCAGGTCTGTGCAGACCTGACTGTTGTAACCTTTTCCCTTTACAAGGGATAGCTGTACCTTCATACTACAACAAAAAAGTGCCTTAAGGGATACGGTAATTTTTTACAAAGGCCTCTTCACAGATTACATCTACCCATTGAAATGGCAACCTAAATTAAAACTGAAATTAAAACACAAGTTTATTCTAAAGATTAACCTGAGCTGTAAAACACCCAATGGCCTTGACCCATGCCAAACTGGAAGCTAATGCTGACATCACAGGATAGACCATAGTAGTTACTCATAGCACCTGCTCCACACAGCAGACCACACGTGACTTGTGGTCCAGTAAAATTCAGAGTTATTCAGCACAACGTTTCAGTGCAACAGCTATGAAAAAAACCTGCGTCTATGGGCAACTGAATATTGGTCCCAAGATACAAAAGCAGGTAAAACCTTAAAACCATATACTCTCCACTTGAATACATGCAGAATCTTGACTTGTTAACAGGGACAACTAATAAGAACATGAGCTAACAGAAAACAAGACTAGTATTACATTAGGGGGCTTTACAAAGGGGCTTTCTTAAAAAAGAAAGAGACATAATGACTCTTGTTATAAAAGGAAAACTACTGAGGGTAGTTTTAATGCACTCCGATGTTGAAAGGTGCCTTAAAGAAACTCTGAAAGGTTACTCTGGTCACCTCCTCAAGTAAGCATTTTTTTTTCCACTGAGGTACAACATGCTCTTTGAAGTTTAAATTGCAACCTACACTACACATCACAACCAGTGCTCACACCTGATGTGCCTTTCTCAAGTCTGTATGTTTTTTCTACCAGATCTAATAGCAAACCACTCACAAATCTACTGAAGTAATAATAACAAAGAGATCAAAGTACAACCACTATCAGAGGCTGATTCATACTCTAAACAAGAAAATAATATGCTCCTCTAAATAATTTATAATGACTCTTTTCAACCATTTTAAAGGGAAACCATCAGCTAAAATACAAGCCAATATGCAAAACTAAAGAAACACTAGTGTCATAACACACTGTAAAATAAGAAAAAAAATGGTGTAATTTTGAAGACCACAGAACTATTTCTAATAAGCAAAAAAAAACATAGGTAGAAAACCATGTTGTCTTCAAGTTGCCATTCTGTAACTGTATATACCAATTAGACTGCTTCCACCTCAAACTCCTTGTCATTTCACATTTCCTATGGTTTTTATTAATAAGAACCACAGGGCAGGCGTGGGGTGATGCTGAGCAGACCAATACTTTTACAATTGTACTTTGTTGAAAGCTTTCTCAAAATAAAAGTCTGTTTATCTGCATTGTTACAAAGCAGCAACACTGAAAAGCACCAGAGCAAAACAAATGTAAGTCCTATTGTTCCAGTTTGTAATTACTTTCCTCCATCATTCCAAGCTGTTTATTTGGTAGAGTAGGCTACATAGCCCTTGAAATTCTCTTTAAAACTACTGATGAAAGGATCCACTTGTGTCAGTACCATAAAGTTACTTTGTTTTACATCTCCTACTTCATAAATATTAGCTAATAGTATTTTGATAATCACTGCAATTGGTAAATTCAGTATTAATAATTATATATTACCCCAATTCATGAAGCCCTTCACCCACAAAAGCACAACCAATACTTTCCAAATTATAAAATTACTTTTAATAGGTTTAAACTACCTGATTTGCAAACCACAAATAATTTAAGTGACAATTCAAATGTACAGTAACGCTCATCCTCCAAACTTTCAAATTTCTTTGAAATCCTATTTAAAATTTACTACTTTTTCTTCCTTATGTCAGTTCTCAGACTACAGTACTTACCCAACTAAGCCAACATCTGCTATAAGTTTCAAATCAAGATGAACAATTCGCCTCTGCCCTTTGCAAGGCACGAAGTTTGTGGCCAAAGAGCCTCCAAGACCTCCACGAGCTGCTAAGAATCTCTCTCCTGCTGCATTAAGCTCTCCTGAAAATAAATTCACTAGTGAAAAAGCAGAATCCCCTGCAGTAGTTCAGTTGTGATTTTCCATTTAAATCTATTTTCAATTAAGAGAGAATTTTCTGTACACACTTTTTTTGCAAGAGCTGTGCACTCAAGGTCACAGTACTTTTCCTTCTTTGGAAACAAATGAGAGCAATCACACCGCAGTATTCCCCTCTGTCATACAGTTAGTCACTTCAAGAAAAGTACTAAGTACAGGCAGGCAAAGTATGGCCAAGATGGCAGTTCTGAAGCCTCCAATACTTGAATTCAAGAATGCAAGAAAAAAACTGCATTGATAGAGACATGGCTACAGCAAACTCTTTAGATGTTCAATATTCTTTCATTATGATGCAGGCTATAATATATCCCTTAGAGTTAGAATGTTAGAATAACAAAAAAAAGTTAGAATAAAATGTTAGAATAAAAAAAGCAACATTTGAGCATGTAATTCAAGGATACTTTTAGACACCAACATGCCTACATCATAAACAGTTCTTGCCTTACAATTCTGTTAAACATCCAAATCAGTCATTTGTGAATTTAATTTGAACTCTGAACAGTATGAGAAAAAAACCTGAGAAACTGCAATGGAGCCACTGAGAACTATTCCAAGTGCACTGTATTGAAAGAGATCTTCCTGGTTACTACCCAGTATCACGCTTCAAAAAAACAAACAAACAAACAAACAGAGTAAAAAATGGATAAGCATTTTAGCCTGAAATGCTGACAAGGATCTTTATTTTTTAAGCAATATCATAATTCAGTTAAGTTATAGGGACATTTACCTGAGTTTATGGACACGTAATTTATGTATGGCCATTAATGATTCTGTGGAGGATCAGTACGGCTTCTACCCTTTAACACTTGTTAGCAAGGGCAATTTTCTTTCTGTTTCATATGATGATACAAACTAACTACTGCTAATTTCTAGAAGGGATCTTTGCCCTCCCAACAATTTCTGCAGTGTATTTTTGTCCAAAGGAAAACACATACACATTTTGAGAGATGTGTAACCTTAAAACATCCTAGCGTTAGAAGTCTACTAGATGTTATCAATAAATATGACAGTATCAACTAGATACATTAAAACAAAGCAAAAGTTCTTACCAATCTGTGTGCCGTCATCAGAGAGAACTGAAATTCCCGGGGGCACATGAACTTCGCAATCTTTTCCTTTTTCACCCTTTAGTGCTTTAACACTGAGAGAAATTAAACCAGGCTTAATAACTTAAGCTGTCATTTCGCTTTCTGGAAAAGCTGTATATAACAGCTTTCATCAAACACTCTTACCTGCTGTTGGCTCCTGTTCCAGCTACAAATCGCTTCTGGGGATATCTCTCCTTTATACTCTTCAAAGTAGTTCTTTCTCGGGCGACAAACCAGACATCGCCACCTCTCCCTCCTTCCCCACCTAGGCGAGGATAACCCATTCCACCAGTTCCTCCTCTCACATAGAGCCGCAGATCATCTATAAAGTTGCCATACTAATAAAACAAGAAGTTTAATATCAGTATTATGTTCTGTTTACATTTCATTTTGTAGCCATTGGAAGCAATGCAGCTAAAACTGCTTAGACAGAACTTTGATGGCAGTAATGAACGCTCAGAAAACAGACATGTAACCCTCCGAGATATTTTTTAATAAGATAAATGTCTGAAGTTTAGGTCAGGTCCCAGCGCCCACGGAGACACGCGTGGCACCGGCGCCGTGCCTCACCGTGCACCCTGCCTCACACTCTGACCCTGCCCGCACAGGCCTCCTGAGCGCAGG